AAGTCCCAGAGCAGTTTAATTTTATCATTTTTTATGACCTTCTCTATTTTATGATCCCACCAGTTTTTGCTTACAGGCAAATGATATTTTTTGCAGATCTTCCAATGCACCATTGTTGCTACTTTGTCATGCCGCTGCTTGTAATCAGTCTGTGCAATCTTCTTGCAACAGCTTCCCAAGTGGTCCACTGTTTCTTCAGCTTCTTTGCATAGGCGGCACTTACTGTCTGTTGCTGTCTTTTCAATTTTGACTTTATATGCATTTGTCGTTAAGGCTTGGTTTTGTGCAGCCAGAATTAGTCCCTCAGTCTCTTTCTTCAATTTTCCTGCTCTTAGCCATTGCCAGGTCTTGTTATTATCTGCTTTCCCAGCTATTTTTTTTAATGTATTGGCCATGTAGAGCTTTGTCTTCCCATGCCTCTATTCTGTTCTTCATTTGGTCTTTCTTGTAGGCCAGTTTGGTCTCTCAGTAGTCAGTAAGCCTTCCTGATATACTAATTTCAGTGCATCTTCATCATTGTTCTTCAGATATTCTTCCAAAGCCATTTTTTCTTCTTCAACCATCTGATGTACTTGTAGCATTCCACGCCCACCTATTTGCCTTGTAGATAAAGTCTATCAATGTCACTGCGTGGATGAAGGGCATGATTCATTGTCATTATTTTTCTGGTCTGCCTATCCATTGCTTTTAGTTCTGCTTGAGTCCAGTCCACTATCCCAGCTGTGTACCTAATGACTGGGATTGCCCAGGTGTTGATTGCCTTTATGGTATTTCCTCCATTGAGTTTGGATTTTAAGATCTTCTTCACTCTCTTGATGTATTCACCTCTAATCTTTTTCTTGACTTCAGTGTGCTTGATGTTGTCAGCTTGAAGGATACCCAAGTATTTGTAGTACTCTTCCTCATCCAGACTCTTAATGTTATTTTCGTGGGGCATCTTGATTCCTTCAGGTTTCATTATTTTTCCTTGTTTGATAGTAAGTGTGGCACATTTGTCCAAGCCAAACTCCATTACAATATCTTGGCTATATATACGGACAGTGTTGAGCAGCGATTCTATTTCAGATGATATTTTTCCATACAGCTTCAGATCATCCATATAAAGGAGGTGGGATAGTCTGGCAGATGATGATGATGATGATGATGATGATTATTATTATTATTATTTCATAGATTTTATTATAATTCATCTTATAGTATAATTCCCAAGAAATCTTTCTTTAAAAAAATTGAAGAAATTGGGAAAATTACCTAGTTGACAATGAATCCTATTGGTTAGCTTCCCATTTCTCCTAAAACATATTGAGGCAGCATAAGAAATTGATTTAATCAATTTAAATCTAGGTTATTGTAGCAATACACTGGAAAATTAATGTTCATCTTATTTGGTAGAACTTAAAAGTGTGGAGAAAAGAGCTTTGAGAAAAAAACCTTGAAAAATATTACAAATAAGCATTCATTTCAGAACTAAAACAACTAAAAGAAAATGTGCAGAAAACTGATCCACTGAACTGCTGAGAATCAAATACAATTGAACAGATAGCATCATTGATATTCTTGTGAATTTATTAGTCGATGATAATAATAACAAAATAAGCTAATATTTCAAGCAGTTACTTGCCTGCTGGTAGCTGTCCAACTGCATTTCTTCTTTCAGTTGATCAAATAAGGCATCTAATAAATTCAGTTTAGTAAAATTGATCAGAGTTGCTTAGCTATTATTACTCTATTTTTCCCTGAATAAATTACTTTTGTACAAATGTTATTCTGGATAAAGATACAGTTGTTAACATTCTTTTACTTCTCATTAAGATCACATATATTCTTTATCTTCTATATTTTTAGTAGCACTGATGTCTTATTTGGTCATCTGAAAGAAGAAATGCAACTGGAGGGTTACTTGCAGCCAAGTAGCAGCTTGAAGTGTTGGCTGGTTTCTTTAAGATTGACCAATTATCCCACAAGAAATTAAAACCCTTGCAGTTTCATATATCCTCCCATTCTTTTCATGTGAGATGAAATGCTTCCATAGAAAAAGAACAGTACAGAACCTATTTGATTGAAATAACTATAGAGATTCTCAATCAGAACTGAAGAAGCTTCTTGGATGAGAAGTGAAACATTTCAAGGAAAAAACCAAGGAAGTCCAAATTCAGATAGCTTATTTTCATATGCAAATTATCATATTTTGTGAATCATGAAGTGATTGTAACAACATGCTTAATGATTATCAAAAAAAACCACTAAAATTTAGGAAGAGCCCCCCTATTTTGCCAAAAATATAATAAACCTTTAGAAATAACACCTGAAGCATATCCAGACTTTAAAAATAAAATAGAATATGAACAATGTCATACTCAATAAGCAACATTTCTGCACGCAAAATGCTGAATGTCTTTAGTTATGTAAACGCTCAGTTTGATCACAATATATGAAGTCTTTGTGAATGCAATAAATTGCACAGGCTGGTTCACTACCATTTCCTTTCTTTCAGTTAAAGTTTGACAGCTAATAGTTCACATTTGAACAAATGAAGCAATCCAACTCCTCTTTAAAGCTCCCAAATTTCCATATCAATTATCTATTAATTTGAACGGTGACCAGAAGAAGCCAGAAGTGTAAATCCCTGAGGATATAACATTTCCATCTTCTCATCAACAATCAACTGTTTTATATGGCTTATATTATTTAACCATTAGGTAATAATCGATATTCCCTGATAGTAATGTTAAGCAAAGTACAACATGTCAATTTTTAAAAAGTTTTATCAATATTTTCTTTTCCTTTATCCTCTTATATTATGTCACTCTACTAATAAAAGGAAATTTTTGTCTGGAAGAATCACAAAAAATTCTGTAGCTTGACACGCTTCAAAAATGAATTAGAGCCAAACTGGTCACTTTCTTAACGTTATTTATTGATTGTGGCAAAGCATGCCTCAGTTCTCTGAGGAATGGAAACTGGCTATCAAGAGCATGTGTAACAGGATGTTAGATGTATTATTTGTGCAAGTATTTATTAATCAATAGTAACAGTTGCAAAAAAGTAATATCCATTGGATTTAAGTTTAGAAACAGGCATGTTATCTTGTTCATCTTAGTCTCAAAGGAAATGCTGCAACTTGGTCTCTAAGATCGTGTACCTGGTTTCATGCCACTTAAAAGAAAAAATATCTTTTCCTGCACTGCAACAGATGAGGACCATAAAAACTGTATATGTAATATACCACAACATATAACTGAGAGGGAGAGGGAGAGTCACATGTTCTTTTAAGGATGGTACAGATCTGGCCAGATATATTTGGCTACTGTTGATATAAGTTTGTTTTACACAAATAGTAATATGAAATCTTACTTGTTATATTTTTATACCTTATCTCAAGGTTTCTAGGATTTTTTTTCTTTTCTTTTTTAAATTTATTTTTAATTTTATTCTTTTATTCTATTCACAAACATGTAGAAATCTAGTTTTTATTATATCTTTTTTTATTTCCTTATCTATTTCCTGTTCATTTTTACTTTATTTTAATTGTTACTCCTTGACTCTTAAGAAACTTCCCTACACAATTTCCATGTTTTCTCGTGGCACTCCTTTTTTCCTGGCTTATTTTTTTCTGACTCTTTCTGCAGCAGCAATCTCTACCAGACCACCCTGAGAGCCTCTATTTTTGCCAGTGAACAAATTTTTGCCAGCCAAACTTACGTCCATATTTAAAATTTTGGGGTTCTATCACTTACTTAACCTGAAATAATGTACAGTATATGAGAACATTGTGGACATGACAACTGTAAGAAAGTCACCATCCTCTTTCCTTCATTTCACACACACACACACACACACACACAGAGAGAGAGAGAGAGAGAGAGAGAGAGAGAGAGAGAGAGAGAGAGAGAGAGAGAGAGAGAGGCTTTTAGTTGTATGTTACAGCTTCCCAAGGGAAAAATAAATAATAACCATACAAAAAATGGGGAAACAGGAAAGAAAAAAATGTAATGTAATAATTTGCACAGATGAAGGGAAAGTATGAATTCAAAAAATTTTTGGTGAATATTTGTCCCCAGTCTGTGTGTGAGAGGCACAATGGCCAGAGAATGTTTGTGTTCTGGCAATTTGAGTTCTTCCATCACCTGACAGATGAGCTCTGATCACTTGCCTCAGCTCCTGCCAACCTAGCAGTTCAAAAGCATATAAATTCAAGTAGATAAATAAGTACCACTTTGGTGGGAAGGTAACAGGGTTCTGTGTTTCATCATATGCTTTGCCCTGTGGCGTAATGTCATGCTGGCCACATGACCTGGAAACATCCGGACAGTGCTGGCTCAATGGCTTAAAGAAACAGAAATGAACATCACCCCCTAAAGTCGGCTATGACTAACAAAGTAAAATTCACAGGGACTCCTTTCCTTTACCTATTCTATGAGTAAGGGAGAAGTGTGTATTTACATTTCTTCCAATCTAAAGGGCTCAAGACTGAGTATACACTTAGCAGCAGAAATATATATATATTTATTATTTCAGATCTACAATTAAAATATTTAAGTTTTCCCATCAAGGGATCCACTGGTTATATACAGTATACATTTCTCCTGCTTATTTTTTCTTATATTCTTTTACTTTGTTTTGTTCTCTCAGTCTGTATTTTGTTTGACCAAATTCACCTTCTTTTGCTTTTTTAAACTTCTTTTTAGAAGTGTTCTCTCTATTTTACCCTTGTCTAAATGACTGCATATACAAGGCCTATTTGCCTAACCCCTACAGTATATGCAATGTAAACAGCTGAGTCAATTACTGCCAGATAATTCGCAACTATTAACACATAAGTTAATGAATTAGGATTTAAAAACTGAATACAAATTAACTATCCTTACTAAAGTATTGTTGTCCTTAATGGAAGAAATCAATACTTGGACTTTGGGGCTTTATTATCATTAAACAAAGAGAGACAATTGTCACTCCTACTATAAGCTAAATGTATGTTAGTCTTGACGCATCATACTTACTTGTACAAATTCTCTAGTGGTGAAGTTAAAACAAGAGCAGCTGCAAGTAAATTATTGCAATATCTGTGGATATTATAAATACGAGGATTTCTGTCTTCATGTGAATCTAAAAGTTCTTGCATGGAACCACAAACTGACCACAGCATGTTTTCACAGGTCATCAGGATTGCTGTGACATCTGTTCTGTAAGAGATAAAATAAAAACTCTGGAAATAATCTAACAATATAATGCAATCCATAATCGTGACTTATTTGCCATATTACAAAAGATATACTTTTTATTCTTAAAATTATCAGGACTCTTAGGCAAAAGTAAAGAAAATGATTATTTATTTATTTATTTATTTATTTTTAAAATTTATAAGCCGCCCCACTCCCGAAGGACTCTGGGCGACTAACACTAAAAAACACATAAAATATAACAAAACAACAGTACAAAGACGATCATCCAGGGGTCAGGTTTTATAAACCCCAGGCCTGCCGGAAAAGCCAGGTCTTAAGTAGCTTATGGAAGACCAACAGGGTGGGAGCGGTCCTAATCTCCGGGGGGAGCTGGTTCCAAAGCGTGGGCGCCATCACAGAGAAGGCCCTCCTTTGAGGCCCCGCCAAATGGCACTGCTTGGCCAACGGGGCCCGAAGGAGGCCCAGCCTGTGGGATCTAACCGGACGTAGGGAACTATGAGGTAGTAGGTGGTCTCGCAAATAGCCTGGCCCTGAGCCATATAGGGCTTTAAAGGTAATGACCAACACCTTGAATTGGACCCGGAGACCAATAGGCAACCAGTGCAGCTCAGGGAGGATAGGTGTAACGTGGATGTATCGAGTAGCCTTTGACTTACAAACATTTGTTTAGTGACCAAAGTTGCAACAGTACTGAAAAAAGTCGCTTCTGACAGTTTTTCACACTTATGACAGATGGTCACGTGATCAAAACTCAGATGTTTGGTAACTGGTAAAACTCATTTAAAAACTGTCTTGCTTAGCTATGGAAATTTGGGGCTTATTTGTGGTCGTAAGTTGAAGACTAACTGTAAAATAATATAGTAGTTGTTATAAAGCAACACTTCCAGAAAAAAAAAGAACTAGAATCATACTCAGGCTTACTTCAAACAATTCACTAGCAAAATTTAATTAATATAGCCTCTAATATTTGTTTTATACACATGGATCACCTTACTTCATAAAGATGAAAAGAAAAGCAATTTTCTTGTATACATATTGAATTCTGGATCAGAATTATTAATTGCTAACATTTATTGGGTAAAATTTTGCTTTTATTTTAAAAACATACATTCAACAATATAATTGAATTTGCCCATTGCATATATCTGTTGTCAGCTGAAGCTGTTGCAATGAATGCAATCAACAGTTATTTACATTTTAACTCTGTTCAGTAATGGGTGTCATTTCTTATCACTGTCTCTTAAAAATTTTCAAAGTCAATACTAAGTATAAATATGATACATAATATTCATCTATCTCAGCTATAGATTATAAATTATTTAATTCTATGTTTGCTTTGCGATTTTAAACACTCAATTTTTTAAAGATATTTTCAAATGCATTTTTTTCCTTCTTCTATTTCCCTCTTCTTCTTTCAATCTTATCCAGTTCGCCATAGAACACAGTACTATGTTAGGATGCCTACGTCTGGCTACCACAAGTGTAATTTGCAACAGTCAGACCATATATTTAGATGACAAACTGTATCTCACTGATATAACTGGCAAAGGTCTTATTTTAAAACAGCAAACATGAGAGCAAAAGTACATATTTGCAATCATCTCTTTAAAAAGACTGAGTGGCCGTAATATGTGCCCTGATAGAGAAACATCTGCTGCTGCCTAGGATTGAACTCTCAATCTTTCAAGTCGGAGGCAAACGTCTTCACGTCTAGATCACTATGCTGCTCATCTTTAGCATACAGTAAATTTATATATCATTTGGACTGCTTGAACTCCTGATTTCTTCCACTTGACAGGAGCTCACATGCTGCTGCACTCTGGACCAGTTGCAGCTTCTGGATGGTCTTCAAAGACAGCTCTATTTTATTGTGTATTACAATAATCCAATTAGGAGGTGACTAAGGCATGAGTGACCATCAGCAAGATTTGGATAGCTTCCATCCAGTCTCCAGCTTTTGCTGCTTTGGGAAGGTTGCTGAAAGGGCAGAAGGTTTCCAGCTGTGGCATGCTCTGGATGAAGTAGATTATCTGGACTCATATTATTCAGGATTGAGGTCTATAGTACTGTGAAAACATTAGTTGCACTGATTGCTGGTTGACTTCTAGATGCAATTCCATATTCTGGTTATCGCCCATAAAGCCCTTCGTATGTCAAGGACCACTTATCTCTTAATAGTTTCTGCCCATCCATTATAATCAGACATAATAGGCACGCTCCAGGTCCTTTCAATTAATCAATGTCATGTTATGGAAATGCACCTTCCCTGTTGTAGTGCCTGCCTTCTGGAATAGCATCCACCATACAAGAGATCCATACAACTCCTACTCGGATGATATTCCAAAGATTGTTGAAAGCTTAGCTTTACCCCTAGGCTTGATTGAATGGTAGCTGCTAAGTCCCTATCATTTTTTTTAACAGTTTTTTTTTTGTACTTGTTCCTTCAGATTTTTCTTTTTTTAAAATTGCTTTTATTTTTTAACAATTGCTAATGTTAAAAAATAAAAATAAACCACCCAGAGTCATCTCAAATTGGACACCCTCAAAATTTAATAAAATAAAAATAAGGTAAAATAATCTTCTATCAAACGTATGATCAAACATTTGGCTATTTTCCTTTATATGTTTTGATTTCAACAGGATTTTAATATGTTATTTTTGTTTTAATCTTTAAATCAATTGCCTTTAAATTATATATATATTTTAAAAAAATATGATTTTAATATTTTAACTGTAACACTGCTCTTTCATTTCTAAGAGCTGTTTTTGGTTAAGAATATGCTACTGTTGCTTCCTATCATCTCATTCAAAGTACATAATTTTGCTAAATTATTACCTTATTTGTGGTGTCCTTCTGTAACTGGGCTGGGCCTGAAAATATCTGCAAGCCAAAAGTGCTAATGATTCTTCCAGCACTTCTGTTAGAATCTCCTGAGCTAATACGGGAGGTAGAACAGTCCATAAATCATGTTGAAGAGAATAGCAGAAATAATGCCACATATGAATAGAGAATGAACATCTTTCTCCCTGGCAAAACAACCAAAGATTAAACAATAGAAACCTATTTTTCTCAATATCAGTTTGGATTCTCTCAATAAAATGCATTCAGACCGAAAAAAATCTGCTGAAGAACAAAAGATGCTGAGTTAAATTCCTCACAATATTTAAAACAGATTTTGACTTTTAAAAACCCAAGCTTATACTTTATTAGTTAGAAGTCAACATTTTACATTAATCCAAATAATAGAAATTTGAACTACTGTAAAACATTTTTTCTAAATTTAAAATAGATTGCCAGTACTAAATTTGTAGTGATTAAAATGTGTCCAAACGCCAATTCTGCAGTGATGAAAGTAAATTTCCCTGTAAAAAGTAGGAGCTATAGGACAGATGCTCCTATTTATGTTTTTGTTATTGAGAATAGTTTTCAATGCATCTGTTAGGAACTTAATATATCTTTAATTAGGTTTCCCTAAGTCACTTACTTCCAAATTATGGATTCTTATCCACCAATTATTGAATTATGAATTAGGTGGTTCAGATAATTCACCAAGATGGGGAAATGATTAGTAAACAGTATTCCTAGCAATTATACACACATACATATATTATATTATACATACATATATTATACTATTCCCTTTTTAACCTGGTGGAACAGTAGAATCACACCTAATGCAGAGATATAACAGGATATCTGGGAATAAGAGGAAGTTTACTGGTGTCTTAGAACCATTAAAAGATACATCAGGCAGGCAATTAATAAGTGGATACAATCTTAAAACCTCATTTTAAATTCATATTGTTTTGCATCTGTTTTTCAAATCAGTCAAAGATAAAGAAAAATAAACCACATTTGTATAAAAATGAAGGATAATAAAGTTACTTTCATACCTCATAAAAAGCTTTATTGTCATCCCAATAATGACTCTCAGCATCCTGTAAAATGCTTGTAACACACACTTGTATGCAATAGTTTGTAACTTGAAACTGAAGAATGCTGATCAGTTCCTTATATTGCTGGAGAAGTGCTAAAAATAAGGGCCTGTTCAAGTGCAAAGATCATAGGGAAAGATTTAAGAACCCTGCTATAAGGAGACAGCAATTTACAATTCTACAAATGGCTTGGATTATTAAATAAGCAATTATCTATTAATTCCACATTAACTTTAAAATCTGGTTTTCATTACATATGCTCTTTTGAAAATACATGTAATTTTACAAAACTATACTATTTATAAGGTTAGACAAAGACTTAATAACGAAAAAAGTACTTAACTAAATAATCAAATATTCATTTTGCTGTTATTAAAAGACAGTCTATTATTTTACCTGGTACCTCTAAATAGCAGGGTTATTAATGTATAATTCATTTTTATTCAGAATGGCAAAATTTTAACTTTACACTAATGTGAATTTAAAATTAAAATAAATATTAACATTGTAACACACACAAACACAATCAGAATAACAGAATAAGAGTTGGAAGAGACCTTGGAGGTCTTCTCGTCCAACTCCCTACTTAGGCAGGAAACCCTATGCCATTTCAGACAAATGGTTGCCCAGTCTCTTCTTAAAAATTTCCAGTTTTGGAGCATTCACAACTTCTGGAGGCAAGTTGTTCCACTGATTAATTGTTCTGTCAGGAAAATGCATGTCCATGCATGTGATATAAGTTTATATAGTATATATAACACACACTATCTCATTCAAAGAGGGAACCTCAAAACTCAGCTTTCAGTCCCTTTTATAATTAACACATCAAAGGAAATTACAAGAGAAAAATTGATTGGGCAGGACAAAAGTGACCCTTCCTTTGCACAGAAAATTAGTTACATGGAGTTAAACATGTCAGCTGATATTTCTTAACAGAAGGAACCTATAATATGCTTCTCCTGCCAGATCTGATGAGGTGAATAGATGTAACTAGGAAGAGGAGATCCCTCAAATATCCCCCAAAGAATACTTCACATTTAAATATCAACTCTCAGTTTTAGCAGAAATATCAAAAAATTAAGCAGGATAGATCATAAAGGAAGTTGAAAGAAAAAAATTAAGGAGAACACATTGTTATCACTGAAAAGAGACTTACTTTCCACAGTCCACTTTCATTACATTTTGATACATTTTAAAATGCTGATATACATGTACTGCTGTGGAAAGAATGGTATATAAGTTCTGAAGTGGAGCTGTTGTAGGAACATCTTTACTTCTTTCTTCCAGTCTGGTCAAGAGAGTTGTTGCCACTTTGCTGCAAGCCTCTATAAAGTTTGCCTTGATTTCCTGGAGAAATTCAACTGTGCATGCCAGAGCCAATGGAAGCAACATGTCAAGAATTTCCATGATGTCAGAACAAAACTAAGAAATATAAATGTTAGCATTCGGTTATTTTTATTCCAAAGATTTTCAATGATACACAGGGCATTTAATGTATACTTGACATGAAAACAAATTAATTCTGAAATCATTTTATTTTCTGGCACTAAAAGGTAAAGGATGAAGTGCAAAGAAATATAATTTGGAGATATTAAGCACATTTTAAAAAAACTGGGATGAATTCACAATTTAAATTCATATCACCTGTGGCATTCTTTTAACAGAAACATGTCTGATCTGCAGTTGTATACATTAATTTCTAATCAATGACTGAACAGACAAAAATTAATTACATTCAAATGGACAATATGCCAAGCTTATTAAACAGGAAGAAACCTGAATTTAAGTAAGTCCTGCATGGTAGCAATTTCTCCAAACTTGTAAAAAAATACAACTTCCAATTGAAACAAATTTTAGCAATTTCTGCTCCCCAAATGATTATATATGATACATACATGTGTGTGTATGTATGCATGTACATACATGCATACATACATGGCTGGGAAGAGAAAAAAAGATAGAATCATGAATGAGGCAAGAGAGAGGTAACTGGCCAGTGAAAGAAATAGACAAAAAAGATCTATTTAAACACCATGAAAAAAATTAAATTCAACATGCAAGTGGCCTTTATCAAGACAGGAATAATCTTCAAAGGCATCCAGCTTTTCAGCAGCAGTTTTATAGTAGCATTTCTTTTTGTTTGTTTTCTGTCACTGTGAATAACACTCCTCTATTTACATCTAATGATTTGGGAAGAGGGAATCTACTGGGTAAATATGGCACATCTTTTAAATCTTAATTCACTCCATTCAAAGCAGAATCTATTACGATGATCAAGCAACTCCAGCATACTCTAAGATGCTTACAATTGTAACTTACAACTTACACCTCCAGTTAATTTACTGTTGAATAAACCAGACCAATGATGGTATTTATGGGTATTATTGACTTTATAGGTAGTTCCAACAAATATAATATCCTATAGAATTTCAAACTTTCATATTTTCAGATACATGCCTTTGAAATCTGTTTTGGTTGCTCTTTCTCATGGATGACTCTCCAGGATTCATTCATGTTTTCTACATTTACAAGACACATCATATAATAGGTAGCTGAAGACTGTTCATTTTGTTCATGTTCAAGAATTTTATCAGAAAAATCTTCAACTGCAATTATTAAACTGTGTGCTACTGAAGAGGACAGATCTTTAAAAACATTTCTCCATCCAAACTCTAGCATGGTAGACTGAAATATAAATGTATACAATAAATATTTAACATACAAATGTGCAGTTTCAAATATCTGTGACAGTTTTAAACATCTATCTGGGTTATCTGAAGAGAAATGACAGCATCAACAAATAAGCAATTACTTGTGTATTTTTGCTATCCACAAGAAAGCTTATTCCTGGGAACTTGACAGAGGTCAAGTCTTAATATTGTTCAATTAAATTTTGGACCTGGCTTGGAGAAGGAAAGGAAAAATCAGAGTTAATTTGAAACATTAAAATATAATATGGCAATTTTTTAATTGTTTTATGTGTTCAGTTTATTAGACAACATAGACATATTTTAATATCCAATGGCCATACCCACATTCCACACAACTTTTGAAAAGGAAAGGATAATGACTGATTAGAGTACTGTGTAATTGAATTCCTTTGGATACTGTATGGAAAGTAACTAGCTTTCTAAAGTTTGGAATGCAAAACTTTAGAAAGCTAATTACTTTTCATAGTATTTGTTTGACATTAGAATTGACTCCTTAATTGTTTTTCTTCTATATTTCATTCCATGCAGTAAAATTGTTTTGCTGACAGTCACACTGATTATATGAGCTGCTTCAATTGAAATGTATTTTAGCCATTATCATCCACTGTAGTTGCTTTCATTCAAATTAAGCTGGAACATATCTAATTAACTTGGGCCTAGAGCACGGGTGTCAAAGTCGCCATGTCATGTGACGTTTTGCAATGTATCGCAACTCTTTTTGCATTGCCGGCAATGGTATGATGAAACCTGCCCACGGGCCGGCAGTTTGACACTCCGGGCCTAGAATGAAGAGTTTTCTAATGTGTAAGCCAAGTATAGTCTATATGATACTGATGTTGAACAAAGATAAAGTTGAAGATGGAGATTGCTGTAGTGTGTACATAGACTGTATCAACCAAATCATAGATATATGAATAGTTATTAAACAATCAAGAGAGGAGGCAGTAAATTAAAATCAATAAATAATATTGGTTGAGATTCAAACTACTACTAACTACTAGAGCTAGTTTTGAACTTTGTTTCTGAAATAACCAATTAATTTTAAAAGGATGAGACTTTTAGCAGCATATTGTAATTAGCATATCATTCTATCATTCAAAGACAACAAATCTGAATACCCTTAATTTTTTCTTAGCCATGAAATTCATTTTTTTAATGGTAAAATATATTTTTATCAAAACTCAATACATTTGATCCTTTAACAAGTCTCATACTATTATAAATACCATATGATACAACAGTATTCAAACTTGGATACATAACAAGCTTTAAATTTTCATCCTTAAAAATTTAAAATCTTGTTTATCTATAGTTTAAGCTATATGAATTATAGCTTATAATTATTTCTATAACCATACAAAATGTATATTAAAGTTATTGAAATTTATTTAATATTTTCCTCAATGTGACAGATCTGATAAAATAAGATAGTCATTTCTATACCCTAAAATTTGGTGTATGGAATTGAGGGGAGACCCATTATTTCATCAACGCTTTTACGTGTTCAAAGCAAAGTTAGCAAACAATTGCCCTTTTCCACCAGTTTTACCTTGTGATAGCATTAATACCAGAAGTTTGTTTTTGTGCCAACCACAAGAAATATATATATAAATATCTTTTATATGTAGGACAGTAAGCTGTACATTAGTATAAATTGTGCAAATAGGAAAGAACTATCTCAAATTAACAAAGTAATATACTTCTTAAAGTCTTTTTTGTTAATTTCTTAAAAATTAACAAAAACATGGGAAAAAATTTCTGCATGTTCTAGTAGAGCTAAAATGGCTCAGCAAATTGTTATATATTCTCAAAATTCATATTCTCACTCGAGCTTAAATTATTAATTGTGCTGATATTAACATCTACATACAAGTGATTTGTAACGAATATGTTAATATTCTATACTGATGCGTACAGAGGAAAACTATCTCTCAGAATTAAAGTATTTTTAATTTTTATTTAACGCACCTTTTTAACCTTAAAGATATGCTCAGGAAATTCGCTGGATTCATTTTCTCTACTGTCCCCTGTAAAAAGCTTCCCACAAGTTTTTTTCAGAACTCCTGCAAAATATCGGTAAAATATAAGATTAATTTTGAGAAAAAACTTCTAACTTACAAACTTTTTGAAATGTTAATATGATCTATAAAGATATTTTGAATTTAATTGACAGCTGTTAGTAAAACAAATACTAGAATGGCCTCTGCATACAGGAGAAGGCTCTGTTACCAGGGATTGCTAGCAATGCAAAATGGGTTTTCTGGCAATCCTTGATATTTGAGATTAACTCTATCAAATTTAGCTGGCAGATTTCATATTTATAGAATATTGCAGGAAGTGCTTTCCTCACAAAACATGAATTTCAAGCTAGCACTCCCTTTCCTAGATCTTCTCTCGATGTCCAAAGAAAATAATTAGCAATATTTAGAATATAATTCTCCTTTTCTGTTGCTGTTTCTGGATATTATTTATCTGTCTGGCTTCTTGCTACAACTTATTTATCTAAGGATTTTGCAAGATCCTCAATCATTTACCAACCTATTCACAGCAAACACTTGTGGCATGATATGAAATGCTTACTGAACACTTAAAGGCAACAGAATCAGAAGTCCTACTAAATAGGCTCTCAAACAATCTCGAGTGTACCCAAGCTTCTTCAATAGGAGATTCTACTGGTGTTTGGGAAGATATTGATGCTGAAATTCTCTCCCCTCCACTCACACAATATAAATCCTCTATAGAATTTGCACATATTGAAAGTGTTCCTTCTTCCCCACCCTACCCCCCAATCTAATTCAAGATTTTCAGCAGGGACAGAAATGAAGAAATAGTGAAGAAGAAAGCAAATGTAGAAAAGAGAGTTGGAAGAAAATGAATAGAAATGTCAGCTTTCCAGCACCATGAATTAATTATGCAAAATATTTTTTTCTGAAGAAATGTACCCCCCCCAGATTAAAAATGATTCCCACCTGGGGTAAAGAACATAAGAAACAACCATTCTGGATTGAAATAGGTTTTTTTCCCATAGAAACCTAAAAGAAATTCTATTGCCACAAAAATAATATGGTTTGTAACTACATGTCTAATCTTGCAGTCACTGTTTTTATCATGGTTGGGCATTTAACTTGACATTTCTTCCACAATAAAAAATTACGAATACAATATTTTAGAAATAAGAAAGGCAATAAGCTTCCAGGAAGTATGAGGACTTATAACATGATCACTTGATTGTAAACCTATATTCTTTCCTATGGTTTGGTTATGTAGAAAAATTCTAGCAAGCCTATTAAACAACGTCTTATTGCTATGTTTTGAGTAAATGTTTTATTCCTCTATTACCATGTTTCCTAAAAAATAATATTTATGATTTGCTACAGTATTGTTTTTAGGATCCAGACAGATTCTAAATGTTAAACTGGCTTCAGCTGAAGGAATTAAAGCAAATTAATACATCTAAGCGCATTAGGTTTAACAAGTGATTTATTTACAGATTTCTTCTTAATCTACGAAGGAAAGACTGTTGCAAATCTTTCTATCTTCCTGAAGCAATGCTTGAAAACTCTTCTTGAGAAGTTTGCCCAGGATGATTTCAAAGAACTCCAGTGGAAAAAGCTATTCTTGGAGCTCATTATCAGATCTGTCTAAAGTTCACCTTTCTCAGACAAATGGGGGAAAAGGTGAGAGGAAGATGAAAAGTACGTTAGATGTTTTGAAAATCTTTAACAAGAGACCTCTGAAATATCAGAGGAATGAGAAAGCATATTAGAAGGGAGGAAAAACATTATTTGATCAAATATTCCTCATTTTTAATACAGATGTTCTGCTTTATTCTTGATTTCTATTAAATGTTCCAAGTACCTGCAAAAGATCTTATCTCCTAGTACAATCTTATAAAGATTGTACTAGGTACAGTAAAATATTCCAATAATTTAATTGCAATGTACATTTAGGAGAACAATGGATCAGCAATTAAAAGAAGCATTCTTCTTTCTCAGCGGTGACCAAAAATAATTTACCAGTCACATTTTCTTCCATTATCTGCTAGTTCTAGGAAAGCAGAGTCAGGAAAGACACACCATTCCTTTCTTAGAAATATCTCCCAAATCTTTGTCCAAAGAACAAATATAAAATTTTGAGCGATGTTGCTTTCAAGATGAAAGAATTATTTTTACTTTATTGTTAATTCAATCAACTAGCTTAGCATTTGAGAAACTTTATTATTTTCCGAAGTTCATTGATTCATTTAATCAAGTATATTCATTTTTACATAACTGATTATATTTTTCAGATTAAGTTTTGATGTTTTTACATTTTTATTCATATATATATATATCAGGATACCAAACAAACCAATACTCCTTTTTTCTACTTTTTCAAGAGCTATGAGGTGTGTTGAGCAGAGAGAATGATAAAGTTACCATATATTTTTGTATTTTTTTGTATATCATATATCTTATAACGCTGTCATTTACTGTGGGATTACCGTCAGAGAGGATTAGTGGCTTGAGCTGTAACTTTTATTTTCATCTATCTAAATTGACTTTCACAGCTTTCCACTGTGCAAGCTGTCAAAGAACTTGTCTAATGGTAGCTCCAAACAGTGTACGCAAAAGGGTATCTCTTTTCTTCAAAGTTCTCTCTCTCTCTCTTTCTGGTTCATAAGTAACTTCCTACCAAAAGAGAATCTGCAGAAGAGGTTACATCCAAGTTATAACACTATGAAAACATATGAAGAGAAGCCCAGGTGGTCACCTTGTAGATTTCCAACATGGAAGCCTTCGACCTCTCCGCCCAAGCAGCAGCTACAGTTCTAGTGTAATGAGCTTTACAAACCCTGGGAGCCACTTTAGCATTAACTATGTACACCTCCCTAATACAGTTCCATAATCATCCAGCTAAGGAAATCTTGAAAGTTATCTGACCCCTCTTAAGACCTTCTAAGACTACAAACAATCTGTCAGAAGATCTGACATCTTTGATTTTTTTTAAATAAACCCTAAGTGTTCTTCTTACATCCAATTTATGCAGCCATTGCTCTTTGTCATCACTTGATCTAGAGAAAAATGATGGCCAAGAAAACTTCTGGTATAGCTAAAAACCAGACATTACTTTAGCAAAACTAAAATGAAAGATAAGGAATTTTTAAAAGAACATTTTAGGTTTTTAAATGAAATTTTACAAACACTGTGTACATCAAATGAAATATACGAATGCAATAATCTAAACAGAGAACAGCTAAACAATACCATTTTCTTTTTATTTTTTGGTAAACTAACTGGCGGTACAAAACAAAATGAAGTACAGTGAGGCAATTCCATAAAGATGATAGATACAAAAAGGTTCCTTGGGCATTCTTCCCCAACCCAATGATCCTTATTACCAATAGGTAGACAGAGCTATGTGTATCATATAATCTGTCTGTTGACTGAAACCTGTAAAAATAGCCTGCTACCTTTCAGGTCTGGCAAATGGCATTACCCCATCACCAATACTGATGTAAAATGTATCTACCAATCCAATTTGTTTTGATACTAATGTTCTGGAAGTTCTGACTAAAGAAAGGAGCACAACACTGAGGAGAAATTGCCAAACTTTATTCAATGATCATCAAGTACCTGCTTTCTAAGAAAGAGGGACCTTGAACAATAGACTGAGAGATGGGAATTCTTAAGGATCTGATTCATGAACATCATTTGAGCAAGTGAGATAAGTGTTTGCACAAAATGTATTTTTTTTTATTATAAAGCAAAGCCGTGGCAAGACAGCCTGGCTACGGATTCCAGTATTGATAGAATATTGAAATAAGCAAACATGTGCTTGATTAGAATGGCATACTTGCATTTCTCATCTAGTAAACAAAGCTTCGTCATTGAGGTTGCTTCCTAGAGGAACTTTTAGCTAAGATGTTTTTCATTGTTTTCCTTCTGATAGGATTAAAAGGTTATTTTGGCTGTGGAAATATGATCATTTTGGATTACGCATTAGCCTAGGACTGGTTGGGGTAAAGGAATGGCAGAGGGAAATGGGAAAACAGTTTTCAAGGGGGGGGGGAAGCAGAAAGAGAAAGAGAGAAGAGTTTGAAGTTTCTTTTATTAATTTTTTATCACAACTAATTTAAGAGGGGGGAAATTTAACTTTTATCTCAAGTCAGCAAGAAATCAGCCCAGTAGCATAATTTTCATATAGATCTCCTTATCATCTATTTCTATTTTATTCAGTATTTAATTAACTCATTTCAAACAACCCACTGTTTTACTATCTTTTAGTAAACATGCATAGAAATGTCATGGTGTAATCAAAATAGCTACAATTTTGTACCATGTATTCATATTCCCATTTGTCCGCTACCAAAAGTTTGCTACTCTATTTCCTTTTCCTATGGACTGATTATTTTTAAAACCTGTTTTCAACTCATGTTTCTCTGAGTAATCAATGAGTTATCTATCAGGTAATTTTTCATTTATCTATTAAATATTTTAATTACAATAGTAAAATCGAATAAAAAGTGAAAGAAAGAATAGAAAGAAAGAGTACAAGGTCCAAACACAAAAGTAGAACATAAAAAAAAGTAAAGAAAGAGGAAAAAATATGCAAAGAAGTGAATTCCAACTTTCATCACAAATGTAAACAATTTTTGCAACTCTTCACCCTCTTATTTACACAACTAATGATCACTTCATCTGATATCCCACTCCTTATCTGTAGACAAATCCAAAAAGCATCATATTTTAATCCTTATGTCAACAGAAAGGATTAAGGATTACTAGAAATAACAATATATATTGTTTTAATCTTGATCAAATAAACCAACTCTATATTCCTTTGATTTACTTCTTACAATCTTGATCTATATGTAATCCATTCAAGTAATGTCATAGAATTTAATTTCTTTTCATTCTTCGTTGTCCCTTCTTACAATACTCTTCAAATCTTTAATAAAACTCTTTTATAAATCCAATATAAAAAATTATCCAGTTCACTTTCTTGTTTTATTATTTGTATTTCCCTTTTGATTTTTGAAGTATCATTGGGTTTTTTTGTATGGCCAATGAGACATGTTTTTTCATGTCATTCTCATGACCTGTCATTTGTAGATCTGCTTTTAATGCCATCTTTGTATGGTCAAATAAAATTTGTTCCTCATCTGCCGTTTCTTCTATGACATTTTTCGGACTGTCCATAGAAGCAAACATTGCTATTCACATAGTTGCCATTTCATAGGTCCCAGTTAATTAACTGTCAATAAATAACAAAAAGCTAGATAAGACTTTCATCTTAGAAAATTATAAATTGATTAAGGGTCCAGATAAATTTGGAATAAGATTTTGGAATTAACTATGAAGAATCATTTATAAATAAATCCAAAATCCTATTCCAAATTTAACTGGATCCTTAATTTATTTATACTTTTGTAGGATCATGGTCTTATTTAGGTTTTTGCTATTTATGTCATTAAAAAAATTAAATTAAAATTTAAAATCATAAAATTATGATTAAAATTTTATTTCAATAAGGACTGAAAGTAAACTAACCCAGTTGTCAATCCAATGGACTCTAATACCTTAAAATAGTTGACAATAAATTTGTAATGATTAGAAAGAAAAGTTTGCAAACTTAATATCCTTTAAAAAGCATCAACCATGGTTGTCAACAAGATGGCTATTTTCATTGTCTCCTGGTGCTGAAAACCCGGCAGGGACAACTGTCTTACAATTTTGCAAGAAGCAATTGTTTAGAACACATGTAAGCAATCACATAGCTTTCCTTATCCAGTGAGATTTTGAAGAGCCGATCTACTCACTGGTTGACTGCAATTGTTGGCTCTATGTTTTGCAAAATCATCTTCAGTTTGTCATTTTTTCCTCTGGAAGTCCATATCAGGTAATTTTTTCATAATGGATCACATGACATTTTATTTATTTATAGAATTTATATGACTATCTCATATGTTTTAGGCAGCATAATTCTAGCAATTAGAAAGGAAAATTAACCATCAAGAACAAAATACTTCAAAGGACTGTATCAAAAATAAGTTGACATTATAGGATCAATGAGAATATGTTATTGTTGTTTCCCTTATTATATCTATTGAAATTCTACAAATCAATTATTTGAAGAAAACAATATATGGAAAATATAACCATACATTACCTTGAGTAGTTTTCTTCTCAGACATACATGCTAACAGTAATCCTGAAGATAGTTCTTCAATATTTTCTTCCATCAACAAAAATGATTTTATAAGTTGGGAAAGGCACTTGAGTTGATGTAATGTTAAACACTGGTTCATTCCTTTTCTGGAAAGTTCCTCAGCAGCTATAAATAAGGAAAAAGAAATTCAGATTCATGTGTCACATTTGTTTCCTAGATGAACTTTTAGCTGAAATCTTTTTCATTGTTTTCCTTCTGATAGGATTAAAAGGATATTTTGGCTGTGGAAATGTGGTCATTTTGGATTATGCAACAGCCTATATCATTAAATGCTATATGGTGCAATTAATTTTTCTGATTATTTCTAAAAATCAGAGATAGAATATGTGCATGTTTTATGTATATATATGAATAAAACAGAAAGCTGTTCTGACGTTCGTGAAAAAAAATGTTCAGTTCTTATGTAGGAATGTCCAGAAATTAGAGCTATTTTTCAGGTTTATGATAATAAACTCTAAAAAGGATATAGCTCGTTCACAATATTTTTAAGGGATTATTTACAAGTATAATAGTATGTTAAATTTTATTATTTTAAAAATATTAAGATGCTCTCTAATTTAGTAAAAGAGACAAAATCTATAGAAGATGAAGACAATGCTTTTGGATAGCTTTTTGGTTTGGAAAAAATGCCTATTGTTGCATTACCACGAATAATAATCTGCAACCAGCAGCGTCTATTTAAAACTCATGTGAAGGACTGAATCAGTAGTGTCTTGTATCGAGAACACCTGATTGTATCATCTGAGATCCTTTAAGTAGTACTGATAATAATGGCAATCATAAGCCGTTACTAAGCATCCTTGAATAGCTGTTATGGAAATACATTCTATTCAGCCTTGAAAAATTGCAAAATACAGTGGCTTGCCTCCTTATCAGTCAAATAATTTGGAGGACATTCAAACTCTGTTTTTTTCTCATATTGGATGCCGGGCTTTGGTCACAGTTGAATACAATATGTTAGTTACTATTTTTAAATTGCTGTACACCCTGGATCAGTAAGAACAGAGAAAATAATGTCAAAAACAATTTTAAATGCCAAAAATATGAACAGTATTTAGCAACATAATATAAATCAGTAAAAATGAAGACTTCAAACAGAAATCTTTATTCTTCTAATGCCTTGCAAAACAAAAATCAAAATTACAAAAGGAAATATGCATCCTTATTTCAGTGTGGTAACATCAATTTATTGCCTGGAATCTCTATTTAATTTTTGGTCTTATCCTTATCCAAATTATTTCCTGTTTCTTTGAAAATGATACTGTGTATAGATTGCTTCTCCTTCTTTTACATTTATATGAATGTTTTTGATTCTGCCTTGATATGACTTGACTCTTTCAGCCCTGTTTAAGCCTTTTTTATTCTGGTCTGACTAATTGCAATTTTGTGTCTTAGTTACTTGTAAGCTGTCAATGACATTATCTCAATAAATGACTTCCTTTATATTTCAGATTAAAGAGATAAAGCTTTTATTATGACATGTCTCAAATCAGAGATTTCATGATTCCATCCTCAACTCCCAGGAGATAAATATTTCAGTACATATTCCTGTAGTTGTTATACATTCATTAAACACTGGGAGGCAGTGTGTTACTGGTTTCGTCTTTACTGGGACTTATCAGTCACAAGCAACCATCCTAGCTAATTAAAAATTATGTTTCAACCCCTCTACTTGGAACTGAATCCATGAACCATATAACTCCCTTCTTATCAACCTAAAAAGTCACTGTAGCTTATAAAGGTAAGTGTGCTGCATATAGCACAAGAGCTTATGAATTTGATACCTGGCAGAAAATGTGTAATTTATACAGTGTAAGATTTTTTATTATACTGAATTGATTTTATTAGGACACATTCTAATTTCAATTATATTTATTTTTATTTACTAGTGAATTTGATCATGTTTAATATTACCAACTAATAAGCATTAATTAATGGATGACGAAGAATTCACTAGAGGTAGATAATTTGAGGAAATTTTTATTGTGTTCTAAAACTGTTTATCCCCATAAATATATATTAGGAAAAAATGGAACTCCTAACAGCGGAAATAACAATTAATTGTTGTCAAGTCTTATGGAATGTGTTAGAAAAATGGGAGATTGGGGAATATAATAGAGTCGTTGAGGCCACTTGGAGATTTATCTGTATCGTCAGGATCACCCGAGTAGTTGCAAATGGGTGTGGAGCCTTCTTGGAAATGCTGAAAGGACTGTTGTAGACAGAAGATAGATGATGTCATGATCTTGCTACAATCTCCTTTCTGCTGGCCACTGGGAAGCCTGGCGGCACGGCTTGGTGCGGCTACACAAGGAAACTCCAGCGTCTCGGACTTACAAGTGAGTTTCGGCACTCCTCAGGTTTTAGTGTGGCAACAGGACAAAACTCAGCAAAGCGCTGAGTTCTTTTCGCATGGGTTTGTGGTGCCTTCCCGAGAATGGCTGCTCCCCTCTGCCTTCCCATTTCCCCTTAGCTAAGGGACGCTTTGGCATGGGCAGCTGGGGAAGGGGAGGCCCGGCTTCTCTCAGGGAGACAAATTAAGCGCATGTTGGAAGGGGAACTTCTGAGTCGGGGGCAGCCAAAGTTAGTCCTCCAGCTTGGGAGAGGAGCTCCTTCCTTTCTGCATGGAGCAACTCCTGCCTCCCATAGCAAAACTCTGCAGGGGTGAGAATTGCGGAGTTTAGGCGATGAGTAAAATATGCAAGATGATTGAAAGCCCTTCTTAAGATTTTAGGGGGGCAGTGGAGGGGGAGAAGGCGACACGGAAAGTTTGGTGGACATTACTAAGAAGTGAGCGAACAACTTCAGTTCCAGAATCACGTGGAAACATGTGCAATATTTGGAGTGTGGGTTGGAAAGGGGTGGGCTATTCTTTTATTATTTTGTGAGTAGAGGTCCCTAAATTGGGGGGAAAGGCGGAGGGGAGGTTTAACCAGTGTAAAGGAATAATCTATATTTCCAGGAATTCGACTTTGGAAATGGTATTGAAATACACACCCTTGGATAGCAGAAAGCATTTCTGTCTCCCCCCCCCCAAAAAAAAACTGAAATAAGAATATTTGACAAAAGCAAATTTTGGCATTATTTTACTCCAGTGGCCAATTAGATGCAGAGGGAAACTAAAACTGGACAAGAAACCAACAATAACTCTCCATTCTGTGTATAGGTGTAGTTTTGTAGAAGGAAAAGAAAGATAAAATAAATAACACATGCTAGATAAACCAGTACTGTAAACTCCAACTGCACTTGCAGTTAAATCAGTGGTGCCACATTTCAAAGTTACAGTTAGAGTACTCCAATTGCAGCTGCTTTCTTGCAGGCATGTGAAATGGTGTGGGACCCACAGGTTTTGCAAAGTGAATAGAGGAAGTTGGTTACAGCTTATTAGGAAAGATAAAATAGATAAAACTAAGAATGCTTTATTGACCATTCTTCATCCAGATTTTATATCAGTTGCATCTGTTAATACAGGTATTCTGGAACACTCTTCTGTTTTAACTTTTTTTCTTTTTTGTATCTTTCAGGTGGACAAGCTTCTGCCTTAGTGTATTCTTGGATTTGAAGTGTGCATCTATATTGTATTGGCTGAAAATCCTCCTGAGCTTTTCAGCTATTCCTGCAATGTATGAAATGACAACATTGCTTTATTTATTGTTGTCTTCTTTGTCTGTTATGGAGGAGCTCCTACTGGATTTTTTGGGGGATTTGATGAAGGCCCACTTGGGATAGCCATGCATTGAGGACTTCCTTGATGTGTTTTAGTTCTTTTTCTTTCCCATCTTTGCTGGTAGGCAGGTCTTCAGCTCACTGTATAGGGTTTGATAACTCCCATTTTGTGCTCCAGTGGGTGGTGAGAATCAAATTGTAAATATTGATCTATTGTATGTGGGGATTTTCTATAAACTTCAGTGTGAAGGTTTCTGTCTTCGTTAATGTGTACTGCACAGTCCAGGAAGGCTAGACTATTTTCCTTAACATCTTCCCACATGAATTTGATGTATCTGTCCATGATACATTTGGTGAACTCTTCCAATTCCTGTGTTTTGATCTTGACCCAAAAAGAAAAATAAGAAAGTCCAGCTGCCTCTTGAAAACACACCTTTGGGACAACCATGACCGGGATGGTTGAGAATCTCCATAGACATTTGACTTGAACATAAAAACAGGACTCCTCCGTCCTTTTGTTATTCCTGTGTCTCCATTGTGCTTGACAATAACAAGCCAGCAACAATTTTCTGTACTGTATAGTAATTCCTCCATAAGATCCTGGAAAAGGAAAGCTAGAAAAGCTGGAGACTTCCTGTTAGCAATTTGCATAATTCTTTGAAGATTAAGTTAACCAGATTTGCCTTGATTTGGACTCTACCGCTGGGAAAGGACAGAGTGAAGTAACCTTGATGTCTTGTCTGACTCATATGGATGCTTTTCAGTATATACACCTCACAATGTGGACAGCATATATTATGATTAAAGCCACCATTTGCTTTCTAAAATCTTTAAATATAATTCAACTTCTAAAATCTCTGTTAAGTTTATTGTCTTGCACTTATCACTTTTTTCATCTATTAATATCAAATAGCTACTTTATAATTAATCCCATTTTTTCCCAAAATCCTGTATTATATATACTAAGCATGTTCACCTATCATCCATTTTAAGCTAAAAATCTTGTTAATGAAAGAGTAGATAAAGAATTAAAATTATCTTGTTACATACACAAACAACTTAGCTAGATTTAACAACCTATGTATTGCTGCCTAATAATTTATGCAATTTAATATTTTGGAATAGTTGCTATAGCATTATTTCAAGCTAAAGTGCTAGGGACAATGGTAACAGTCTTCCATAGATAACTTGATGCAGCGGTTTAAAAATTCACACCAATTTTAATCATTAGAATTTAAAAGCTAGCATTTTTATAAGATGCTGGATTTTAAAAGGCAACTGGGTTTTGAATCACAGAATGATTGGACTGTACAGTCCATCCATAAGACTACAAAGTGTTTTCAAGCAAATCCCTCTGACTTTGTTAATCTAATGCAAACACTGTTCACAGACTGCATCTGTTATAAAATATGAAAAAGAAAGAAGACTCCCTAATAGGT